GCCATAGTGTCAAGATAGTGTTGAACACTAAGTTTAAGTTTTTTTTTATTAAAGGTTGATGATACTCGATTGCATCGAAATGGGGCCTCCGAGTTCGCCCGTCCCGGCGCCGCCGCCGGCGTCGGCGGACGCGGCGGCCGTGCGCGCCTACGCGACGACGCTCAAGGACCTGGGCAACGACCGCTTCGCCGCCGGCGACGACGACAGCGCCAGCGCACTCTACGGGAAAGCGCTCGACGCGTGCCACGGGTCCATGGGCGACCTCCGCTGCGCTGCGCTCTGCAACCGCGCGGCGTGCCACCTCCGCGCGAAGCGCTGGCGCGCCTGCGTCGCCGACTGCGACGCCGCGCTCGCGCTCGACGGCGCGCGGGCCAAGGCGCTCTACCGACGCGCGCGCGCGGCCGAGGGCCTCGGGGACCTCGCGGCCGCGGCCAGGGACTACAAGGCGTTTCTCGTCCTCGAGCCTCGGCACAAGGACGCGACGGAGCGCGCGCGCAAGGTGCGCTTCCGCTTCGCGATGCGGCGCCGCGACGCCGCGCCGCCGTCCGCGCCGCCCGCGTCCGCGCCGCCGCCCGCGCGCCGCGCGCCCCGCAGCGCCGCCCTCCAGGCCCGCGCCGGCGCCCGGCGACCTCGCGGAGGACTTCGACGCCTTCTCCGTGCGCGTGCGCCTCGCCGTCTCGTCGCTCGAGGACGTCGACGTCGCGCTCGTCGGGCCGTCGGGCCCCGCGCCGAACCCAAATCTTCAATCCGACTGCAGCGTGCGCGTGTTCGACCACCTCGACGCGAGTGCCTGTGGTCTCTGCGGAGAACTCGATGGGAGAAACGCACTCGTCCCGAAACGAGCCACGTCGACCTCGGTTCGACCGAGCTCCGAGAGTTCCGAAGCGTGGTCGGGACCCCCCGAACCAGCGGTTGATCTCGGCGCAGGTCGGGCCGCGCGTCGGCGGGCTGGTTCGAGCCCGACGGCGACTACGCGCCGTGGCGACGCCGGCGCCCGCCCCGTCGCCCGCGGCGAGACGCGCGTCCGCGGACGCCCGCGCCGCCCGCCGCAGGCCCTTCCACGCCGCCGGCGCGCGGCCGCTCGAGGCCGGCGCGCACCGGCTCGTCGTCTCGCGGCGCGGCGAGGAGCTCGCCGCGGCGGCGTTCGACGTGTCGCCGCCGCCGCCGCGGCCGCTGCCCTGGGCGC